ATTTCAGCTCCAACATCATTTCTTATATTTAGTCAGAAAAATTCATTTGGCAGATTGATGCCAGAAAGCACTGATTGTCCTGATTCAGTTCTGCCAATTTCCGGTTTAAAAAATGTATGGGCTGTTGAATATGATTCTGCAACTGATCATATATACTGGGTAATATAAAATATTTATAAAACTACTGACAATAGTATAATAATTGTTAATTACAAGTTAAAATTTTGAAAAAAAATTTAATTATAGTATTACAAATTAGTATAATATTACCACTTTTTAGGTTGATGGTCGAACACAAAGTATTAGAAGATCCTTTGTTAATGGCACTGGAAACAGTTTAGTTGTTGGCGGAATTTTACATCCTTTTGACCTTTCACTAGATCCATTAGGCAGATTACTATTTTGGTCATGTGCAGGGACAGATGCTATTAATGTCACAAATCTAGACACTTTGACTTCTATTGGCATTGTTGTTAAAAACGACCAGGAAAGACCTAGGAGTTTGGCTATACACTCAATCAAAAGGTCTTAATATATTGAATGTTTATGTAGATGTATATATATATATTGAAGAATTTCATAAAATTGAATTATTATTCTGCAATCATACTAATGAAGTCAGAGTCATTTATAGTTAAAACAAAAAAAAAACAATTATTTTTGTTTTTCAGATTGCTCTTCTGGACAGATGTTGGTGTTCAGGCTGGAGTAATGCGTGCTCGCATGGATGGTTCTAGCAGAATAGCATTAGCATCAGATCTTCGAGCTCTAGTTGCCTTAGCTGTTGATTCTGAACTAAACTTGGTATTTTGGGCACATTCGACCCAAATTGATGTTTCAGATTTAGATGGAAAAAATAGGTAATTGTAAATATTTATTATGAATTCAATTTACAAGACATCATTATGGTTCATTCATTTTCAAATTTTATTCTAACTAATCATTTTTCATTCATCATATTTCTAATGAATTTAGAACTTTTAGAATAAAGTTTCAAATTGCTAAGGCTTGGCTTGCAAGATCTCTATCAGTATCAATGCCATTGGTTTCAGCCAGATGATGATTTCAAATAGATTTTATACTTTAATCAACACATGCACATATGCACACACAATTATAATATTTAATATGTATATATGCACAAGTGTTCATATATGTGTATATATATATATATATATATATATATATATATATATATATAGAATTTTGTGATATGAGTGAAATGAATATTAAATGAATTTGAACAATACAACACTCAGATTTTTAACTCACACTTTATTTGGTAATTACAGACGTTTTGAGACTATGGTATGCCTCATCTTCAGTGTAATTTCAAAACAGTTACTTACATACTACACATTCTTCAATATTTTACATAAATTACATTTAATTTTTGAAAATACAAAAAACATCAACTACCACTTACAGAGCTTGACACAGTACTAAAACATGTGAAACATACAGAAATATTCTAAACAAATCTTAAGTATTGATACTTAATTTTGAAATTTAAATAATAAATGTAAAGGATGGAAGGATTTGACATGTTAAAACGATGCTTTCAGAACATATGATAAACATAAACCACACTTTTAACTTAAATCCTTCCATCCTTTACATTGAAAAAAATTGTGACCTTAAAAAGATAGTTGAGTCTTTACTTATATCCCTTAATACTTCTTGTGTAAACAAACGTAATTCCTCTCATCTCTTACATGACAGTTATAAAGTCATCATTAATTTTATTAAAAGTAATTCTATACAGTTTTAGAATCTTTCGTTCGTTATATTTCTTCTCTGTTTCTCTTTCCCCTTTCGTTTCTCACAACCCGCTCTCACTCCTTCACTAAACTTGCGTTGTAACCTTGATCAGTGTCTATAATGTACTGCTATTAATAACATAAAATATTGGACGGCAGTATGTGCACCTTCAATTTCTCGTTTGTTAGTATAATAGTATATTATTATTTTACACAAATTTAGTGTTCAATCAATTTTACATCATAATTAATTTTTTTTGTTGTTTTTCTGGGTTTGGTATGCATAATTTCCTCTTTTTTTATATATTTATATTTATCATCAACTTTTTATTTATGTTATATGTTTTTTAAATTACTGGATGATGTCACACATCAAGTGTCGAAACTTTTAATGGAATAAATAATTTTGTTATTTAATCTTTTTTTTAATTTGACGATTGGGCTGCAAAAATATTACATATATATATATATATATATATATATATATATATATATATATCTATGTCTATAGAAAGGTGCTGGTAGCAACTCAGTTGATCCAGATTTCAACAATGGCCAGTTTGGATGGGTTTCTATACTGTCTTGATAGAGAACAACAAGAAGTTAAAAGAATTGATGTTAAAAAAGGTGTTGAGTGGCCAGCTTTGCTTCAAGGAATGTCCCATTTAACTGATTTAGTATCTGTTTATCCTATTCTTACAAAGGTGATTTATATTCTATTCTTCTTCAAAAATCTTTTTTACCAATATATGTTTATATTTGTGAAAATACAATATATATTCATAGAGCATAAATAGCCAATAGGCAAATGAACTATCAGTAGCAAAGATATACATATATAATGGATGAGTCAGCAAAAGAGTGAGTTGTATTTTATTTCAATAGGCAATGGAAAATCATACATGCAGTAAATCAAATCAAATGGGTCACTGTTCTCATATATGCGTGTGGTCTGAAGAATCAGAGAACAATGATGTATGTGGCTGTCCAGCTGGATTAGTATTACATGAAGACAGAAGGTCCTGTGGTCAACGACCAGCTTGTGAACCTACTCAGTTTACATGTCCTAATATGAATACACCATTAAGTAGCAGTAATAAAGAATGCATACCATTGTCGTGGAGGTATGTTTATAAATATTCTTATCAAATGTTGAAACAAAATGATCTCATTAGACATTAAGCCACAAATTATTTACATACATATTTTGTGATTTCAGATGCGATGGCCATGCAGATTGTCCACAAGGAACTGATGAAATAGATTGTCCAACATGTCATTCTGATCAATTTCGCTGCAAGTCTGGCCAATGTATAGATAAGAATTGGGTATGTGATGGCACTACTCAATGCCCTGATGCATATGATGAAGCTAGATGTTGCAGCAATCCTGATGACTACCAATGCCCTTCAAATGGTGTCTGTATTTCTTCAAATTTTCTTTGCGATGGTTGGGCTCATTGTCCGGATGAAGCTGATGAATCAGATGCAATTTGTATACAAGAAAGCAATCGAAGAACAGAAACTGTATCATCAGACTCTGATAAATATTCGTATATTATTGGTGTGTTGGTAGTTGTACCAGTTTTAGTCATATTTGCCTTAATTATGTATTACTTCAGAAGACATATGTCCAAAAATAATATTACAAGAATTGATGATCAATCTGAAGATCCTTTATCTCCTAGACAAACAGTTCCTGATATTTGCTTAAGTACTGAACAACATAAATTAGGTAAAATATCAGGGCATGATGTACGAATGTCTACATTAAACTGCAATACAAGCAGTTCAAATAGTTATGATAGAAAACATATAACAGGGGCATCTAGCTCAGCAACAAATGGATCAAGTCTTACTTGTTATCCCAGAGAGACATTAAATCCTCCTCCCAGTCCTGCGACTACAGCAAGTTCGACTAGATATAGTAGTGCAACCGCATCAAGATATCGGCCTTACAGACACTATCGATCTATCAATCAACCCCCTCCACCTACACCTTGTTCCACAGATGTATGTGACGAATCTGATTCTAATTATCCATCAAGGTATCACTATGAAAGTGAACCATTTCCTCCTCCGCCTACTCCCAGATCTTATTATCATAGCGATGCAGGTATTTTACCAGAAAGTTGCCCACCTTCTCCAAGTAGTCGTTCTTCAACATATTTTTCTCCATTACCACCGCCCCCCTCACCAGTACCTTCGCCATGCAGAGGATATGATTAGTTTTAATATTTATTGTTGAATTTACATATTGATCTATGTATATATATATATATATATATATATATATATATATACATATATATATATAATACGTGTGATACTGTTAACAAGTGGTGGATAATGACCCATGGGCTCTTTTATACGGCTTGATATCAAATAACATTTATCAACCACATCTGCTTGAAAGTAGTCATGTTGGCATGTTGGCATGACATTGTATCACATGTAACAATTAGTTTCCGAATACATAAAACTCATATTACAGGTATATTTAACAAGTACATTGTAGGTAAAAATTTGCTCAAAAATTACTGAGAAATCTTTGTGCTTTCAAAGGCTTTAAATATAAAAAACTGAAACCAAAAGGTGCCTAAATTAGTTGTACATATTATATATGTGTTGTGTTCATTATTAACTATTTTCTTGTTGAAAGATTGAGAATAACTAAATTTTTATATTGTTAACAATATAATTTTTTTTAATTTAATAATTATTAAATTAAAATTAAATGATCTTATTTGGATGATATGCTTAAAATCAGCATGGATTATATTATTATTCTGTAGTTTTTATGCCTTCTATATGTATATATCTGTTTAATTTTAATTTATGTAAGTATAGACTGAACTATTATAATTGTATTATAATGTACTGATTGTGAATATAGTTTTAAGATTATATATTAGTTACAATGTATAAGTTAATATCAATGTAGCTAATCCTTGTTATAAATTATGAAAGATTGAATAAATTTATTTATTTATATATATAAATTAAAGCTATATTATTATAACATTATATTATTTTTACAATGCATATATTATAGAATAATTTAAAGAAAATAATATGTGATTCACATAAATAGCAAAAAAATTTGATTTACCGCCATTTATCATTATTAAGTTGCAACTTTCTTTGTTTTCTTAAAACAAAAGTATTTTTAATTTATTTTGTTGGTAGATGTTCTATCGTATTTGGTGCTTCACCTTCACTTATCCGATTTATCCGTTGTTATTGTTACGCACGACGTAAACGTATTTCTGTTTTAAAGGAAGAAATTCTGATTTAACATTAATAATATTTGAAAGAATGGAAAGAGTTCAAGTTCGTCCAGTTGACGAAATTGTTGAGGAGAATTATGTGACTTGTCCTAGCGAATTCCGCCCGATTGGACGTGGTTGTGATTATACGAATAATTTAGCCAAGATAAATAACAAACTTAATTGCATTTGTTATCGTAATAAATCGAGATTTGTCTTGTGCAGAAATTGTGGACATATTATGAATGGACGAAAGAGACTAACTTGCCCTGATCATCCACGAGTGAGTATGGAAGAAATGTCTAATCACATTTTCTCTAATCAAACAATTTTAAAGGATTACCTTCGTTTAATAAATTAAAACTGAAAATATATTTTCTGGAGTAGGTACTATACTATCTACGAATGAAAAGTTGTCATATGTTGTTCGTATAATTAGCTATGATTCAATAATACTTATTGGAGTTTATAAAAAAATAAAAATATTTATGATTTAGTTTTATATATATAACGATATATAGGAAACAATAAATAGTTTATAATTTAGTATATTATATATATATATATATATATATATATATATATATTAAGTATAATTTTGATTAATCGTCTTTAGATTGCTTTTCTCATGGATCATCAGATCTGCTTAAGATGCAAAGTGGGTGAATTTATGTTGAAAGAAATTGATGGCAGTCGACAAGGTTTTGTTGCCCCAGCATCAAAAATTGAGAAGAAGACTGCGCTCACTTTTGAAATTAATAATAATAAAATATAATTTTAAATTAAAGTAAAAATGCCATCAATTTTTCCGACTGGCAAATAATACCAAAGTTTCATTATATTTTCAGAGTTTATAAAAGTATTTTACATTTGAAACATATACAGAGCATCACAAATATGATGCTCAATGTTATAATTATAGTTACTTGATGTTAATTTAAGTTTATCAAACATTTATGTGTACGATATGTAATGTAAAGTATTAATTTGAATTTATTTAATGTTTACTCAATTTAAATTGAAATTTCATATATATATATATATATATATATATATATATATATGTATATTCAACTTTATATATTATTGAAATTTCAATTCAAATTAAGTTATTTATTAAAGTTAACTTTTCTCCGATCTTAAATTTTCTTCACTTTTGTACAAAACGTGTATACACGTGTATCTTCATGATTTTAATGTAATAATTAATACATTTCTTTTATTAAAGCCATATTTATTTTCTTTTATTTTGTTTAACAATACACATTTAAGTTCTTATTACTTTAATTAATATGGATCATTTTTCAAACTATACTTTTTTATATTATTGATACAAAAACATGTAGTAACAAACAAAGCATTTTAGCTTTTTTCTTATATAATGTTTGAGTTCTAAAATTATAATATTTAAATTAACATTAAATATAGGTGATAATCAATTAAAATTAAAATTTATTTTATTTTATAGGTGATAATATTGAGGTGAAGTAGAATTGCGCGAAGTGCGTGCCTATTCGAATTAACGATCTTTAGCATCGGTTGATAATATTAAATTAAGTTTTATCATAAAGATTTTATTGATAAAATTTTTGTTTATTTATTCGTATTTTTAAAATAAGAAATTAAACAATATATTAATGCTGTTACTTAAGTACAAAGTAAGAGTCATATAAAGCAAGGTTATGTAGAATCAAAGTATATAAATATAATTGTTGACAAATACAATTAAATACTTTCTTTCCTATTTTACCTAAATTTAAAATCTGCCAAATAATAAATAACGCTTTTAACAAGAATTATCGAAAAATCATACAGTGATTCTCTTCTTATCAGAATGTGCAAAGTCTATGTTAATTATAAAAGCCCTATTGTATCTTCTATCTGAGCTTAGTCTCATCCTACATTTATCTTCTAATACATGATTTTATTAAACCTTCAATTCAGAGTGGATAAAATACTTGAAAAATGTGTATATCAATTTCATGTATCTTCATAATTTTAATTGTTGGTTCTTATTCTGTCTATGGTGATCAGAAATATACCAACAAACCTCTAGTTATCACAACTTGGAAATTTACAAATGCTACAGCAAAAGGTATGACGAAATTGATTACATATGGTTTAGTAACAATATATTTAATTGCAATTTTCATTAGCCTGGAGCACAGTATATGAAAAACAACTAACAGCCATCGATGCAGTTGAAAGTGGATGCAGTGTTTGTGAATTGCAACAATGCGATGGGACTGTAGGTTTTGGTGGAAGTCCTGATGAGAACGGTGAAACCACACTTGATGCTCTAATAATGGATGGGTAATTTTATTGCGAATAATGTCACTTACTAAGAAGTTAATTAATGAAACTCAAAGCAATGAATGAATTAATATGTGTATTTCTCACATTTTTTAGTAAAACTCTTAATATGGGAGCAGTAGCTGGTTTACGTAGAATAAAGAATGCAATATCTGTGGCAAGGCATGTCCTACATAATACAGAGCATTCAATGATTGTTGGAGACCTAGCAACTCAGTTTGCATTAGAAGCAGGATTTGTTGAAGAATCTTTATCAACTACTGAATCTCATGATATGTGGACCTCTTGGAAGCAAATGCATTGCCAACCAAACTTTAGAACTGTGAGATTATTTTATTTTTATAATATGCACAAATAATATAGCTGTGAAAATATTCACAGACGTAGTATATTGTGAAAATACTACAGTTAAAATATTTCAAATTTATTTATATCTTTACAAGTTTTAATCAATCGATTTTGCAATTTTCTAAATATTTTTGTGTGTAATTATATAAGTTTTACCCCTATATATTATTTGTAGAATGTTGTACCTGATCCTAGCCAATTTTGTGGCCCTTATAAACCCAAAAGTCATTCAGAAAACGATTATAGTGATGATATTAGAAGTGAAAAAAATTTTGGTATTCACAATCATGATACAATAGGAATGGTAGTTTTGGATACCGATGGCCATATGGCTGCAGGAACATCAACCAATGGGGCTAAACATAAAATTCCTGGGTAAATAAGCAATCAAATATGTATGATATTAAGTTTAGTTTATTAAGTTGTAATTAATTAACTAAATATGTTATAAAATTGTAGAAGAGTTGGTGATTCTCCAATACCTGGAGCAGGTGCTTATGTGGATGAAGAAATAGGGGGAGCAGCTGCTACTGGAGATGGTGATGTAATGATGCGATTTCTTCCTAGGTAATAATCCTAATTTCCTTCATTATGTCAGTTGTTTTACATTAAATGATATATATATATATATATATATATATATATATATATATATATTCTTGAAATGTTAATTTGAAGCCAATCGTCGAATTAAAAGAACAATAAATAATGATCAATTTATTTATATATTTCATGTATCATTATTCAGCAAAGTTTTTTATTTAATAAACAGTATGTAAAAGAATTTTTACAAATTTTGAAAAAATTAAATTAAAAATTGTTTTTATACTTTGTAAAAATATATATGACATTCATTTTATTTATTATACTATTGTATAATTACTATAGTAATACTATTGATTTTTTTTTCATAGCTTAATAGCAGTGGAAAGTATGCGCAATGGTGAAACTCCATCAAGATCTGGACAAATTGCTATGCAACGAATTTCATATCGTTATCCTGACTTTGTTGGTGGCATTGTAGTTGTTGACAAATTTGGTAATTTCGGAGCAGCCTGTCACAATGTTGAAGGCGGTTTTCCATTCACAGTAGCACGTAAAAGCTCAAATATTTTTAAACCAGAAATTCATTATGTAAATTGTAGTAATTAAACCAAAACAAATTTCTTTATTAATTTTATTTGCACATATATTTTATTATTAATACAGCAAACTTTTATGTAAGTAGCATTCTCAATCATTCTAATTTTTTATTTCTACCATTCCTTGCTTGTTTTTACATTGATACTAAAACGAAAACCATCCTGGTGTACCGGGTGAATTTTTATTTCTTTCAAGGTAATTTTTATAAAGTTTCTTTGATTCATTCATACTTTTCATATCTTCTTGATACTGACTCTCTTCATCTTTTTTGAAAATATTAGGAAATTCAAATACTTCTTCTTTAGGCTACAAAAATATAAGAATTATAACATAAAAAAGCGTTAATTTACATTTCAATTATTAAATTTAAAAGTAGCAAACAAAATTCTTTTCTTTTCTATTAAAGAAGTTATTTTTAAATATATATAAATAAATCTATATCAAAATGTTTGAGTATTTCCGATAGAATGGAATTAATGTTAATATTTCTTACCAATGTAACATAAGCTAATTTAGTATCTTCTTCTTTTACAATATATCCTTTCAAATCTCGTTTAGTTTTACCTAATTGAATTCTTGTTCTCACATCTATGATTGGAACATTGTATATTTTTTCTAAATAGTTTTTTATATCGTATTTTGTCATTTGCATGGAACAGGCGAATTGCACAACATTTGGTGGTTGTTCATGAACAGGTCTTATTAATTTCAACCAGAAATTTGGTAAGAATACTCTCAGCTGTGGATTGCCTCTTTGATAAAGAGGGTACCTATATATAAAAGTGTTAAAATTATTGCTATAATTAAAATGGCATGAAAATGTTATTACAACTACCATCGTGTAGACATGCTGACAGGAGACTAATTAATTGGATACTATATTAGTTATTCTTTATTGAAAGCTATTTAAAACATTTAAATTATTTCTGTCCCAAAATCAGAGATTATTATATATATTTTTAGTAGAGCAATAAGGTTATTGGGAGATCGGTACTAAACTGTCAACTTGCTTTCAAGTTTAGAACCACCTTGAAGTTTGTTGTATTTTACAGAAAGTCACAGAAATTTGTTGCCGATTCTGATTAATCTGACGCGGCAGGCGAACTTGTAAAGTTAATCCTTAATATTAAAGCTAGAAGTAATAAAAAACGAAAATCTTTGCCAGGAACAAAATACTGTTCAATTATTTTGGATTAAAAATAAAATACAATCTGTAAGTAATTTTTTTTAATTTTTGCGAGTTTGATGATTCAAAGGTAACTTCATTCTCGTCTCTAACTTGACGTCTTTCTCCAACCAACCTCGAAACTTTTATTCTTATTTGACTGTAAATTAACAAAAACAAGTGAGTTTCCACAATATTTAGAATAATAAGTAATTATATTACTCTTGTCATAAATATCCTTCTCTGAGGTGTTTGTAGTAAATAGTTTACATTGTATTCAATTTCGGTAGTTGCTCGAGCAATTATGTAATTTAATACGTATCAATCAATACTTTTTAGGCAAATATGGGTAAACATTTTGGAGAACTTTACAAAATCCGAGGATTAGTTTCATACACGCTATCCCCATTTGAACAAAAGGCATTTGCAGGACTAATTTCCAAAGGCTTACCAAATACCTTGAGGCGAATTCGCGAAAGCGCCTTCATAATCTTACCCCGTAAGTTATTGTTGCTGCTGAACAGCGACTAAATTTAGATATGCTTATAATTTTGATAATTATATGTTGACAGAATTAATTATATGATATTATATTGATATGTAGTAGAATAGCCAATACATTGAAATTAAAAGATATATTTATTGGTCTCGATTGGTCAAAACATTTAAACCAAAATAAATATTTCTTTTAATTTTGATGAATTGGCC